GTTTATTTAGTAGAACAATGTTTCCGGAGCTGATGGTGAGGTTTATTTCTTGCAAGTTTGGTTTTTTAGCATTTTATTCAATTTTGAGTTCCTTTAGTGATATTCATATCTTTTTCGACTATCCATTTTCATGTAGTGTACTAATGTGCTTGTTTGACTTTTGTTACAGGTCTAATGGCTAGCAATGAAGAAAACCCGCAAGGAAACCAACAAGAAAACCCACCAGGAAACCAACAAGATCATGAAAACTCACAAGAAACAAATCATGCAGCGGATGATACTTCAGCAAATGATGTTGCACGAGGCATCACCATAATGCGTGAAATCATTCGTGCTAGAGATAAGGGAGTGATATATAATGTAGATTGGAATCATTCAAATCAAGTAGTTGGGGTTAATGCTTCAAAATTCACAAGCTACGTTGGTACACTTGTTCGTATGCATGTGCCAATCTCCATATCTAGATGGAATGCGAAACAATGTGAAGCATTGAAGCAAGGAAAAGAAATGTTTTGGGAAGATGTTAAGGTATGTATGTTATATGGTTTATATGGTTATATGTTTATAAGTTTATAAGTTTATATGGTGTATATGGTTTTTAAACTACTTATATGTTTATATGGTTTATATGGTTTTTAAATTACTTATATGTTTATATGGTTTATACGCAGCGGTCTTTTAACGTTCCAGATGAGCGTAAAGGCTTCGTACTTGGGTTGGCCGGGAAAAGATTTAGAGGGTGGAAAAATCTGTTGACGAACACCTATCTTAAGGATGACAAAGGAAAGTGGCTGGAAGAGTTCCCGGCCGGAAGGCCAGAAAAGTATAATCTTTTCATTAAACAAGAAGATTGGACTGAGTTTATTAGACAAAGAGATGACGAATTCCGGCAAAAGAGTGCCAAAAATAGTGAGAGAGCATCAAAGCCCGCGTATCCATACAAAAAAGGGCGTTTGGGATATGCACGCTTAGAGGAAAAAATTGTAAGTAATAAATAGAAATGATATGTTCTTATTAATTGTCTAAATGTGTTGTATTTGACGATCTAACCGTTTGTTTCTATGCATAGTTAGAGGAGACGAAAAGTGATGAAACCTCACTTCCAGCACATTTGCTGTGGAAGGAAGCTCGTGTGGGCAAGAATCAAGCTGTTGATCCAAGTGTTCTAAGAATTTATGATGAATGCGTAAGTATAACATTGTGTCTTTAATTAAATCAAATTTTTATGACTATTTAATTGATTTTTTTATCTCCATTATTTTCAGGAGACATTGTCACAAACGGAGTCCACCGGTGACGACCAGGATACGAGGAGCGTACTTAGTAAAGCACTGAATGTTCCTGAGTATTCCGGTCGGGTGAGGGGTAAAGGTCATGGTGTGACTCCAACCTCTTTCTACCAGCATCATCGGAAAAGAAATCCTACCAATGCAGAAGTGATGAATGTACTTATGGAATTACAAGCAAAAGTCAATGCATTGGAAAGAGATAAAGAGGTATTAATGAGGGAAAAGGGCAATGCGGCAATGGCGAAAGAAACTAGTGACAACGCTAGTATCAACCGTCAGAATAAATTTCCTGAGGTAATTATAAATATATTGATAAATCTCTATTGTTCAAGATTCTCATTTTTATTCCACCTCTTTCTATTATTGAATTAAAAGTAATATGTATGCATATTGGTTTAGGGCATTTCATCTTGCCAACTATACGTAATGGCATCAGATTATCACCTTGTTGGCAAGGGAAAAGTGTACAACACTTTGGGAGATTTAATTCATAATACACCGATCCCGGCTGGACACCTGAGAGTATCAGTAGATTATCCTATTGATCCCGATGCGTTGGTACCGGTACCTGACGTGGCCTTGGATATAAGATCGGTGCGAGACGCAGTAGGGTCGTTTGTTGCATGGCCCTTGGACCTCATTTTCATTGATGATGAAGTATGTTTAAAACCGTTAATATGAATCATTTAGATTTCAAATGTCAATTCTGAACCGTTAAGTTAATTATTTTTTAATATTAGCCTCCTACAAAACCCGCTAATAAGGGTAAGGAGATTTTGCAGCAAGGCGGCGAGTCTATGGAATCAATTCCAGAGGTACACTTAAATTGTTTATTATATGATATGAATTTAAAACTGAACGATTTTATAATTTACCTAAGTTATATGATTGTTAGGTATCTGCGAAAGTGTCACAACAAGTGACCCAGCCTGTTCGTAGCAGACCACCCCCGAAAAAGTCAATGCATAAGGGGGGAAGAGGCGGGGGAAGAGGCGTTTTTGTACCTCGATATCGGAATACACTTGGATTACTTTTGGAAACCTCAGATTTGAAGTCAGGTGGTATTCGTCGAATCCTTATGGATGCAGATATCTTTGGTCTTGACTGCGAAGAAACGATAGGAATGGACGAAATGACTGAGATTATGACGCATGGTGAATTAGGCATCGGCAATGTTCACGCATACATCCGGTATTCCGATAAATATATCATTTAATTAGTTGAACAATTTATTTACACATTTCAATGAAAATAGTCTAATGTTTATATGTTTTTATTTAAGGTTGTTGTACGATAAAAAAATGCGCGAGACTGTATTGGCAAGACGCTTCCATTTCTTGTCTGCCCATATTGTCAGCGGAGCGACAATTGTCAGGGAACCGGGTTCAGTTAGGGAGTACTTAGTGAATCGATACACGGCCTACGTCGGCAACCCATATAGCTTGTTTATTTTGCCGTATAACACTGTTCCAGTGGGGTGAGTTTTTCATTTATTCTAATATATCTTTGTTTATTTTGCGTAGAAACTTTTCTTCTAAACTGTTGCTTAAATTTTTAGAAAACACTGGTTGTTGTTGGCTATCGATCCGATTAAAGAAGTTGTGTACTTTCTGAATTCGGTAGACGGGGAATGGACTAACTATCCCGCTATGAAGGAAACTGTTGATCAGTAAGTGAGATCGTTCTAACTATTCGTGTATATTTATATATTTAATTATTTCTGTGAGATTGATCTAAATATATGTTTTTATTTTCTTAGATCAATACAAATATTTCGTAGTCAAAGGGACGCACAGGTACCCCGGAGTAAATCATCAAATATTACTTGGATCAAAGTGCAGGTACAAAATTAGTTGCTTATAATAATAGTTATGTTACTTGATAAAATTACACGACAACTATAAAATATATTCTGTTTTTCTATGCAGTGTCCGTTACAGAATAACGATGTAGATTGCGGATACTTTTGCTTGAGGTTTATGAAAGAAATCCTTCATAAAAATCAAGTAGAGATTCCAAGCACGGTATGGATTTATAACTTAGAATAATTTTGTATGATTTCTACATTTAATAACATCATGCATATACTGAAGTAATAATTTCTTATGTAGTACTTTGATGACCTCTATACTATGTCGTACACGAAAGTTCAAGTGGAAGAAGTCAAAGAGGAAATATGTCAATTTTATGTTGAAAACAGATTATTCTGATGGGTATGAATAAAATATTATTGTACGTGTTAGTTTGATTGTGTTGGAGCCTTTAATATTGTTTGTTTAATTTACCGTGTTGTTCATATTCATACTTTGCAGGATGACGACCGTGTCGGTGGAGCATTATTTTCGATGTAATTATATATGATTTAGTTACATATGTATATATATATATGGTTACAAATTAACACGATACTTTGTATGTGATTTAGTTATGGTTACAAATGTATATATGGTTACAAATTTAGTTATATATGATTTAGTTACATATATATAGATAAGGATTGAATATTATATGGTATACCGGTTTCTGTTAATATAATACCGATTTCTTAAAATATATGTATAGATAAGGATTGAATTACAGGTTAAATTATTGGACCAAAAAAAAATTACAGGCCGCACAGGGAACCTCAAATTATAGGTTTCACTTTAAAAAATTTGTATGAGCTACGAAAGCGCTTTTGGCTAAAAAGCGCTTTCGTAGGCAGCATAAATAAAAAAAATAATTAAATAGAAACCCCCTATCAAAGCGCTTTTTATGGAAAAAGCGCTGTGAAAGACCCCCCTATCAAAGCGCTTTTTCCATAAAAAGCGCTGTAAAAGCCATGATAAATAAAAAAACAAAAATTAAATAGAACCCCTATCAAAGCGCTTTTTATGGAAAAAGCGCTGGGAAAGACCCCCCTATCAAAGCGCTTTTTCCATAAAAAGCGCTGTAAAAGGCCTGATAAATAAAAAAAAAATTTAAATAGCACACCTATCAAAGCGCTTTTCAAAAAGCGTTGGGAAAGACCCCCCAATCAAAGCGCTTTTTAAGGAAAAAGCGCTGGGATAGGTCCACCTACGACATCGCTTTTGGCCAGAAAAAAGCGCTTTCGTAGCCTACGCCAGCGCTGGCTACGGCAGCGCTTTTAAGCGCTTTTAAAGGGCAAAAAAAAGCGCTGTGAAAGCCCATTTTCGTAGTAGTGAATCAATTAGGCCCAATCGGGTATAAGCTCGATACAACACTTTCGATTTATAGGAAGCCGGTCCCGAGGAGGACAAGAGGTGTAACCGTGACATAATAGTAAGATAAGGGTTACATAGTCATTAAGGGGAGGATACATGCGTTACGAAATCATTAAGGAGACGGTTACAGACATTACAGGATGACTTAATGACCATTAGACCAAGGACTTTCCTATATAAAGGGTCCTTGGTGATAGAAAAATGGACTCACTCTCTACACATCTCACTCATCACCCCTCTCCAACATACACGAGGGAGACATCATACATAACGGATCTCGTATGAGGGATAAGTCAGACACCACTCTTAGATCAATACCTATCACTATGGTAGCACTCAATATAGATTCCATTCTGGCCAAACCAAAAATGTACATCCTATTTAACAAAACATAAAAACAGATAAAACTGCACTATATTTTATGATATTATTACAAACACACTTACTGCAATGAATATGAATTCACATTTTATGAGCAACAGTGAAGCTAATCATTGAGGTTGGTACGACAAACAGGACAAGTGACATGTGAAGAAAGCCAAGCATCAATACATGGAGGATGAAAGAAATGATTGCATGGAGGTAACACACGAATGGAGTCATTATCATGGAAGTCAGCGAGACACACAGCACACGGTAGAGTACCTTCATCACCTTCCTTAACATGTTTGTTTAAGGAAGAGTACAATAAAATTGGGAAAGTCTTGAGTAGTTGAGGATTTATACCAATGCCAACTTCACATTTTGATGACCCAGACAGTAAGTAGCTGCGCAGGAACAACAAGAAGATGAAAATTAAGAGAAGTGTTGCGAAGACGACTCCAACAATTACACTAACCGACGCCACGTCCCATAAAGTTGTCGGAGATCTGTAAGGAAACGATGGTTGTTTTCCCGGCTGTGGTTCTGCAGTACTGTAATAATGATTATAAGAAACAAGGAGAAGGAGGAAGATGAAAATGGGATTCAAATCTGTGTTTCTCATTGAGTCAAACAACCCTATAAAAAAAAGTAGTTTCTTTAGTACATTTTTGTTCTTTCTTTATTTACTTTTTTTTAATAAATTTTTCTTTAAGGAAATTAGTCATAAAAAACACTTGTATTGGGTATTAGGGGTCAAATAGGTGCACACAATATATAGGTGCCCATGCATCACCCCTTGTTTTAAAAAACTGGGTTTTAAAAAAAATGAATGAATGTCTTGATAAAAATAAAAGTTAAAGATTTATATTAGTTTATAGAAATAATGTGATATTCAGAAACTCAGAATCCGTTAGTTATAATTTTTTTTTTAATTATATAGTTCTACATATTTTCGTAAAAATAATTTAAAAGAAAAATTTTTATAGAATAAATTTATATAAAATTTAATTTAAATAGATTCTAATAAAAATATTTATAGCAATTTATCTTTTTTGTTAAAACATTTGTAAATATTAAAATTAAAAAACATTGAGATTTGATAACAAATAAAAAATATGTGATTTTAAACATAATAAAATTTTCAATAATAATTATTTAAATTATCGTGTCAAATTTACACATTTGATTAATAACAAATAGATTTAAAATAATATCTACAATTTCTAATAAAATTCTCAAATTAAAATTTAAAAATACAAAGATAAAATTATTTTTTCTAATCTATAACAAAAATACCCTCAATTATTTCTTGAGAAAAATAAAAACAAATTTTAGTCAATGATAAGAATTTAAAAAATAAAAAAATAAATAGAAAATAGAATTTTTTTTTTTAATACACTTATATGAAATAAAAAATATGTGCATTTTTGCAGTGACAAAAATGTTTTTGAAATAAAATAAATTATGATAAAAAATAAAACATTCATTAGACTAAGCAATTCATTGAGGTCAATGAAAAGTTAATCATCAAATTAAAAATGAAAAGAAAAAATATAAAATTCAATTTTAGTTCTTAAAGGTTTAAACTTAATAACTATTAATCAACTCGTGTAACCGCACGGACTCGCGCGTTGCATTGTTATTGGTTTTTGAATGTTAAAGTTGAATATTAATTATTTGTTAATAATGAATATATAATATTAAAAATAAAACTCAGAAATTAATCAGTTATTTGAACTGTTACATGTAAATCATGCGAAACAATAATAAAGATAATAAATGGTTGAGATATATCATTTTCTAAAAAAATAAGTAGTTAATCCTGTGGACATAAATCGCTTATAATTTAAGATGAATTAAAAAAATTATGTAATTTTTTAGAATAAAACTTTAAAAAGTTATTTAACAATATTAAGAAGTATAATTTGTTGGAACAAAATTTGTTCACATTCTTTGAGCTCACCCTCTTTGTGTTTTGATGATAACAAAAATACTTAAAGAATAATATTGTATACTAATGTTTAGTTAAGTATGCAGGATCATTAAACTTATAATTAACTAAGTTTCGACCTAGTTAATGACTTGTAAATTATATGATTTATTCACTCTACTATCTCATGTCTATGGACGTCTTACTTGAGAAACACACAATGGATAAAGCAACTGTTTAGAAGATGAAGATCCTCATCATACCAACTCTAACGTCTCTCTCTTGGAAACCTCTTCTTTAGTAAAGACACTTGTGCAATCAAACTTCTAATGTTTCTTTTATTCCCTCTATATAAGGAGCTAAAGATTCAAACGAAATAACAAGAATAATACAACAAGAAAAACAACAGAAATTATAATATTGCAAGAACTGTCTCTCACTCCAAGTTAGAGTTTATAGTTGTTGTATTGCATATAGACTTGAGATGTTCTTACAGTTGTATATCTTAGAAATCTCAAGTATTAAGGTATTTGTGTAGTATTATTTGTACCTCTAATTGAATATTAGATTCGTCTTGTTGTAATCCTAAACAGTTTATTTAGAATTTGTAAAAGTCTCGAAATGAGTGTTTGAGAAAAGAAGTCTCAGGCTGAGTGTTTGAGTAAGGATGTCCTGAACAGTTGATTTAGGCAAGGAAGTCTCTTTCTAGTTTTTTTGAGCAAGGAAGTACTGAACAGTTGGTTTAGGCAAGGAAGTCTCTTTCTGATTGATTGAGCAAAGAGGTCCTAGACAGTTGGTTTGGGCAAGAAGTCTCTTTCTAGTGAGATTGAGCATGAAGTATTAGATTGGTGTGTATAACAAAATTGTAATCAGGTTTTAATTATAGTAAAAAGCTCTTGCATGGCAATGGAACTTGACTACTTTTATTATAGAGGAACCAAGATAACTTTGCGTGTAATTTACTAATAGCTTATGCATTTTAAATATTCTGGTGTTACATACTCTGGCTTAGATCTGAACTTGATCAGATTCAGAAGCTGTTGTTTTGAAAAAAAACATAAGTTATCAGATATACAATTCAACCCCCATTCTTGTGTATTTTCTCGCCTTTTGTTGGCATCAGAGCATGATTTATGCTTAACACTTAACATTGGTACATAAAAAGATCCGAAAGAGAAAAGTATACTAAGGTGGATGATATTGGTGATAGTAATGTTATTGGCATTGGTATACCATATGATTATAGTGCTCATGAGAAGAGTCACTATTATGCCAAACAACCTGCACTCAATGGTGATTCTATTCAATTTGAATGGTGTAAGAGAAAAATATACATTTACATCACTGGCCTTAATGATGAGTTATGGGACATCCTTGAGGATGACATTGAAATCAAAGTGAGTGGCGTGGGAATTTTTGCTAATAGAAAATTTCTCACACCAGCTCAAAAGAAAGTGTACAGAAAACACCACAGAGTAAGAGGTATTATTGTTGATGTTTTAACCTCACTCTGAGTACATAAAAATCATAGATAAGTCAACTACAAAGATTATCTCTGATTCACTATGTTCTATCTATAAAGGTAACCTGCATGTGAAAGAGGCTAAGGCCAACCTTCTGGTTCACCAGTATGAACTCTTCAAAATGAATAATGATGAAGACATAGAAATCATGTTTTCCAGGTTTCAAGTTCTTTAATCAGGCATTCAAGTTTTGAACAAGAGTTATACCTCAATAGATCATGTCAAGAAGATTATGAGAAGTCTTCTTGTGAGATTCAGACCTAAAGTTACAGTTATTCGGGAGGTTAAAGACCTGAATACTTTAAGTCTTGAAAGTCTGATAAGCAATCTTCAGAGCTATGAATTGGAATTGAATGGATATGAGCCTATGAAGATGACCAAATCATTGCCTTTAAAGTCTTCCACTGAGAAGTCTAGAAGTAAAACTCACAGATCTTTAAAAATTAGTAAATCAGAAGAAGCTTCTAATGAAGGAGCTTCATATGATAACTCTGATGATGAAGAAATATCCTTTATCATTAACAAGTTTCAACTACTGGCCAGAAGAAACAATATTTTCTCTAGGAGAAGTAGTGGCTTTAGAGGTTCTAGTTCCAAAGACAAAGAAGATGGCCAAGAGATCTGCTAGAACTACAACAAACTTGATCACATAAGATCTGACTATACTGATCTACAGAAGGACAAATCAAAGAAAGAAAGCTTCCAGAAGGACAACTTTAGAGACAAAATCAAGAATAGTCTCATGAAAACATGGGATGAACTTGATAATGAAGGAAGTTCTAACTAATATGAAGGTGAAGAAAATCTAGCATTAATGGCTCACACATAATCTGATGTAGAATCTAAATTCTACTATGATTCAGAATCAGACGGAGATTGAGCAATTTCTTAATAGAGTCTAGATTTCAAAAAGGTCAAGTTGACACTACTTTAATCGAAAAACTCTAAATAAGGATATCTTAATTGTCTATATCTATGTTGATGATATAATCTTTGGTTCTACTAATGCCACTATTTGCAAGCAATTTTCTAAGACCATGCATGCTGAGTTTGAGATGAGCATTATGGAAGAATTAATATTATTACTTGGGATCCAAATCAACCAATGCAAAGATCATATCTATGTTCATCAATCTAAGTATACAAAGGAGCTTCTGAAGAAGTTTAATCTTGAAAATTGCAAGATTATGGAAACTCCTATGCACCCTACCTGCAATATAAATATAAAATAAAGCAGTACAAAGGTTGATCAGAAGTTGTACTGAGTTGTGATTGGCTCTTTACTTTACCTCACTGCTTCTAGGCTTGATATTTTGTATAATGTATGCTTGTGTGTAAGATTTCAATAAGATCCTAGAGAAGCTCACTTAACTATTGTTAAGAGGATCTTTAGGTATCTGAAAGGAACATAAAATATCGGCCTTATTTATAAGAATTCCCTAGAATACAAACTAGTTTGATTTTGTGATGCTGGCTATGTTGAGCATAAAATTGAGAGAAAATCCACTAATGGAAATTTCAATTCTTTGGTGAAAACGTATTATCCTTGGCCAAGAAGAGACAAGAAACTATTGCTCTTTCTACAGCAGAAGCCGAATATGTATCAGTTGCTAAATGTTGTACATAACTACTGTGGATGAAATATCAACTAGAAGATTATCATATCTGTGGAAACAATATACCTATCTTCTGTGATAATACTGCCGCCATTTGTCTAACAAAAAGAATGTTCAACATTCTAGAACCAATTATATTGATATTAAACATCACTTCATCAAAGATTATGTTCAGAAGGGTGTTATAGATAATAAATTCATTGATATTGAAAATCATTGGGATGATATACTTACAAAACTCCTTACTGTTGAGAGGTTTGATTCTATCAAAAAGAATATGAATATGGTGTTTGTCAAATATTAATGCCAGATTCTGAATGGAGTATCAGTCTCTGAATATGATAAGAAGCAACCATATCAAGAAGCCATTGGAAAGCCTTTGATATCTGGTAGCCTCTAGATTATTTCAATTTCTAAAACTCTTATACATTTAATGTGATTAATTATTTAAATTTCTGGTAAATTAAAAATCCTACTAAACTCATCTCGGTGTTACATTTATTACGATTAGAACTAATAAAATTTCTTAGTCTCAAGTTGAGTCTATTACAAG